CACACACACACACACACACACACACACACACACACACACACACACACTCTTGATGAGTCAGTGAAAGTCCGACGAAACAGTCTGGCACAATCATGCTTTTTTTGAGTGTATAGCGAATATGACAACACACAAGCCCGGGTAGCACATTTCCCAGCCTCCTAGGGCCAGGGGAACAGCCGCTACTGCCATCAACGACCAAAAGGGCATACCTAAGAGATGTACGGTACCAGTAGGGGCATATGGAAAATTCTTGTGCCTGTACTGAACGGCTATCCGGTAGGGGCAAACTGGAAATTTGGCGCATGTACCGGTAGGGGCATATTGAAAATGTCTCAGGCCCAAACGACGCCAGGGGTTTTTTGGAAACTTGAATGACTGTCACAGGGGCAAATCAGGGTAAGTCGGCTGTCAAAGGGGTAATCGCAAATAAACACAAACTTCAGGGGCATTTTGAAAATTTTCCCTATTCGAAAAGGCTACTGCCTGAATAGGAAATTGATCAGCATCCAGCCTCGAATTGCCGAAGTACCACGGGCGGTCCCAACTGTTCATTTTTTAGGAGAAAAATCCCGAAAGGAGGCATTCACAAATACAAGCCAATTGGAAAAAAAGCTAAGCATGTCTCGGTCCTGCTAGAGACAACAAAGGAAAAAGTCATGAAAAGGGAGAGATGACAGGGGTAGAGGGCTTCCTGACAGAGCAGGAAACACGCTCGAGTAAGGAAGCATGCCAATAATTTCACCTGTGTAGCACACCGAACATGTTCGGAGCTTTTACGAACGTCCGAACATGTTCCGGTGTTCGGCCAAACATATTCAAAAAAATAATAATAATAAAAAAAACATATATATGGTTTTTTATTTTTAACTCGAGTTTGGTTATGAATTTGAATGTACCTCCAAGGCAAAAGTTGTTTGTATTATTATTTTACATGACATATATTTTTTTCAGATTTTTTGGAGATTTTTTTTTTTTTTTTTTTTTTTTAATATTTTTATGTTCGCGTTCGGAGAGTTTCGGCGCTCGTTCGCGTTCGGTCACCGAACCGGAACACGATGCTACACAAAATTTCACCTGACATTTGCCTTCAATGACCATCAGAAGGGGCGACTGGACGCAAAGTTGATACCTCCCGTCAGGATTCACACAGTTGAACACGAATGTTGGAATGACAGGGGACCAACCTACTATTTCGGAGTAGCAGGAGAAGTGACAGAATTGCTTAGAGCAAAGATGGACTCCTTCGTAGCAGAAGCCATCGCATCGCCGTACGTGAACAGGTTATTTGTGTTCCGGAAGGCTAACAAGACACTTAGGTGGATCCAAAATCTGCAAAAGTTAAATGTTGTCACCAGAGCTCGCAAACCTAACCTTATCTGTCACCCAAACCTGACCCGGACCTGGTCTTAAAAAAATTATTCATCCATTCCCAATCCGGATCAACTTTCAAAAAAAAATCCAAACTGTACCCTACCCGTACCCGGGCTTTCCCTGATTTTCCAACCCGCGTCCGGCCCGCCCAAGGACCCAAAAAAAATAGCAACTGCACCCAACCCGCCCAGGTTCCACAGTGGACCCAACCGTGGCTGCCCAGCGCGATCTATAATCTGACGATGCCCACCCTGAAGCACCCATGCCCCACATTTGCCCGCCCGAAACCACCCGCGCCCCACATTTGCCCATCGGACTCGCTCATGCCCCACCATTGAATGCACCCACATGTTACACATGCTCATCTCTCCTTAGAAACAACTAGTTTTCCTCCACGCAAGGACAAAAAAAAAAGCAAGCAGATCACAATAGGCCAAAGAGGATGAGTCATAAACCACATTATGAAATTGCTATAACTTTGAGAAACAAGTTTCAAAGTCAATCCATAACATCGGAATTATAGCAGTCTCAAAATAAAAAACAGTGTCCTAAGCTCTCAAAGATCCTAAGATCCTCACACATGCTTGCTAGCAGACCGATGACGAAACCAGTAACTGGTAGCAAGAATTGTTGTCAATCTAACTTCTAATGATCAAATATTGATCGCACTAGCCCATCAAAATCGATCAAATCTTTGTTTGACCGAACAAAAAGAACATCATTGACCATCGAAGGATTGAGCCCGTTTCTTTTCTTCGTAATCGTGTTGCCAGCATCATAGAAGTTACACTCACTCTTCGAACTGGAGGCTGGCATACACAAAACTGAGCGGGCTGCACGGGCCATGATTGGCAAAGGAGGCAGCGATAACTGTTTTTCTAAACTTTTGACTGTTGAGCCCTTTGCCTTCCACCAAGGCAATATACTGAATATCTTTTTTTCCTCCTTTATTAATTTCAAACTAAAATATACCTCCATTTCTTTCCCAATTCGCTCGCTCAGTGTGGCAGTGTTGTGAGGAGCAGGAACATCGTCATCGTCCTCTTCATCAGAACTGCACAAGGTTGTAATCCCTGTCATGCGTTTCTGCCTTTTTCGTGGCCGTTGAGATTGAATCTCGTGTTCTCCACCTTCGGATGCATCTTCCTCTTTCAGAATCTCATTGCCCACTTGCTGCATAATCTCCCTCAGACGAGCCTTGCCCCTTTTGACTTGGACAAAAGGCAATCTGACGAGGATCCAGAAGCGCGGCCACGACATGTAAGTCCTCCAATTGCTATTTTTCAACAAGCACTGCTTTTACCAATATATTAATTTCTTTCATTTGTTGTGAATCAGCTGGAACACCTGTCTCTCTCCCGTTCTTGTCAAGAGCAGTGTAAGCCTCGGTGTGAATTTCACAATGCTCCAACAAAGCATGCCGCTCAAAGGCGACCAAATGAAGCGTTGGTTCCTTAAATTTCTCCAATTTCAGCGTGGCTTCCTGAAATCGAGCGAGAAAACATGCTAGCTCTACCACAAATTCACGGTCAATCTGCGCAACTTGAATAGTGATCTGTCTGTTTCCCGTCCTTTTTGCAAGAACAACATTGACTGCATCATAATTATCAATGATATTGTTCAACAACCGTGGATGGGAGTTCCACCTGGTAGTGTTCTCTTGTTTCAGGGTTGTCTTCAGACTGTTCTGGAGATTTGCTTGGTTAAAAAAATGAACAACATCCTTCCAACAGTCTATGACATCATATACTTCACCCCGTTGTTCGTTGACGTGGTTTTCGAGAGCACCGTTGTGAGAATGGTGGCAATCTTGTGATCAGCACAAGGGTGCCACGGGTACAGACTTCGAATTCCCTCACTACCGGACATGTTCGGACCGCTGTCTCGACAAACATGACACAATTCAAAGTCACTGCAACCGAATTCAGTAAGGCAGTCCTGAAAACCTTTCTTAACAAGGGATGCTGTGTGAGACTCACCATGAAAAACTTGGACTTCAAGTGTTCTGTCGTGCAATATGGAGTTCTTATCTATGAAATGAATGGTGACTGACATGAAAGGATTTTTTTTACTGAGTCTGTCCACAAGTCTACAGTAAACCCAGCCCATATCTTATCCAAAACATGGCCCATCACTAAAGCTCTGACACGTGTCCTGAGTTCTGTTGCGGCAACCATCACTTGGTTTTTCACAGTGTTTGGTACCGACAACAAATCCTCCGCCTTCATTCCTCTATTAATAGCTATACCAATATCAAGAAGAACTTGAGACACATTCTGAAAACCAGGGTCAGAAACTATGGAGAAAGGTCGCAGATCTACGCAACACATCATGGCAACAACTTTTGCAGCTTTCCTTTTCATAGCAGTCGTCGACTCTATGCATGTTGCGAAAACGCGCATGGCTCCTGCGTCTCTGTCCTCCACCTTGCACTTATGGTTGTTCAAGGAGCTTGTCTCATTGGCTGTTGTGAAAGCGTACACAGCAAAGCATTTCTTACAGGCGACATACCCGGTGTTGTGCACCTTCACGGTCGAACCGTCTGGTGCACAAACATGAGCGAATCTTTGCCAACAATGTGCCTTACTGCCTTTCTCCTCCTTAAGAAGATACTCAGCATGAGCGCCACCTTTCCTCAATGCTCTCTCGATGTGTCTCTTCAATTGAGACATATCTGTCATGGAGGACGAGCTGAGTTTGTCAGTGTTTTCCAAAGCAGGCACGGTGTGCTCATCCGGGTCATCCCCCTTTTCACCAGGCACACGACTCAAGTCCATCGGACTAGAGTCACTGGAGTCGGCTTCTTTCTGCATGCTCTAGCCTTCAATAAGGCTCAACTATTCACAACCCTGCAAGTTGCTGCAAACGAAGTTCATTCTATTCAGTTGCAGATTTTTCGAAGAGAGAGAGGGAGACCTTTTTTTTTCAATCACTTAAGAACTGCAGTCAAGCGAACATAAAACACAGTGCACAGTGCACATGAGGATATTCGAAATCACTCACACAACACACAACTGAGTAATTCCTCTACCGCTGCAGTAGTTGAGAATGCGTAAGAGATTAGGTTAGATGATACCAGCAGATGAGTGAAAGCGAAGTAGAGAATCATTGAATTCACACTGCTTATCCACAACGTCCATCTGGCTGTGAACCTCAGCTTTCCGCTTTCTTGGCAATCTCTCCCTCCTGCCTGGACGCCTACATCTACCCCTCCTTACTCATGAGAGTTTAAAGAAGCACTGAACAAGCTGATAAATAACTTTTTCTGTATACAGGAAATCATGGGGCCAGAAGTGCATCTACCACTCCAGGCTCTAACGTAGATATGCCTACACCATGGGGACAGAAGTGCATAAACTACAGGACCCCATCCAAACCCCAGTCACCCCATTGATTGGCCAGTTGGTCATGAGTTGTGCCTTTCCGGGGACAAAAAAAAAAAAGGTTAGGGTGAGCTCCATTTAGCAAAGACGACTGAGAAAAAAACTAAAACTGGAGGACCATCTTATTGGCATCTTGCAGCAAGGCAACGAGCATCCAACAAGGCAAGCAGGGGGGTCTGGCAGCAAGCCAGCAGCAAGCAGGGGGGTCTGGCAGCAAGCCAACAGCAATTCAGGAAACAGGGGGGAAGCTGCAAGCCAAGGAATAATTTGGTTTCACTCATCAATCAAGTTCCATCATCTAGATTCAAACTCGGGACTGTATTTC